GTTAAAAAAAATGTCATGAATCTTCACACCTAGAATGAAAATAAAAATCTGTCTGCTCAGCCTCACTTTGAGATGGTGACAGATACCTTTTCTTAATACCTCCCTACATCCAGCCTGTATACATTACATCATGTATTATGAACTCATTCTGAATAGAGATAAAACAATGTTTGCATAGCTGGCTGTCTTTTTGAATCTACGTCAGCATTCTTATAGTTGCACCTGTGAGTGCATCTTCATTTGTACAGTTCATTGCGGGACAAAAGAATTCAGCAGCACAGGAGTGTCTAGGGGCAGTAAGATGTGTTTTCCTTTCTTTCGTCTGTGTGCTGTCTTTTGTGACTACAATTGATTTTGGCACCCATTGCGAGAGCTGAAAATCGGCTGATAATTGTGATACAACTTCAACAAGGAAAACAAGAAAAACAACAAGACAAAGACAAGAAATTTCAAATTAATTGGCCACATTCATAGCTTCAGTAGTTTTTGTTATAAGATGGTCTCCATCGATTGTTTCATTAGTGAATTGGCCAGTTCAGCTCACTGCATCTGTCTCAGCGTATACTGTAGGCCAGCCCAGAAGTACTGAAAGGGAATTTAGGGGCCATTTGAAACCTTCACCATTCATTTCAATATCCATTTCTGCCTCAAAAATCCCATATTGTCTTGCCTTATAATAATGCAGCAGATTGAGCCCTAACGGTTTGTTCATCTTCAAACATTTTGATTGAAAAGTCTGATTGTAGGAAACAGGTGAAGTGATGTGATGGAACCTTCACATTACAGCACTATAAATGGCAATACAAAGGCTCCACTGTTATTTATTCTCCCTTTTCAACTGCATCTGCAGACACCAGTCGGTGACCAGAGGGCATTTTTAATTAGAGCCGAGATGGTTAATTATCATTTTTACAGCGCCTTACCCGGAAATTAGCTGCATATTTGACTTTTTAAGACTGTAAGTGGGAACGATGGTGTAATTTTCAGATCTTCCAGCTTTTCAGTTGTGTGTCAGATTTCTGTCTCTCTTTGTCGCTCGCCCTCTTCCTTTCTATCTAACATTAGATTAATGCTTTCCTTCAGGCTTAACCTAGTCTTTAATGGCCCCATTTTCTTTGAACCTCTGATCTGTGGAGGCTTAATGATATTTCTCTTACTAATCTCATGGCCCATCCTGTGTAATACTTCATTCACAAAGACTCCAAAGATCCCTCTTGGTGGACGTAGATGGGAGGTGGATGGAGGGTTGGACATGTCGGTTGCATGTTTTCACTGAAGGCATTAAGGGATAAACTGACAGGAGCAATGATGTGGATATGGATGAAGACTACTTAATCTGTTGGGAGAAGCAAAGAGCGCAGTGCGATATTTAAAGGACCATTGCAAAGCTGCATCCATCATCGAAACTTTGAAAGTGCTCTTAGACTTTCGTATTTTTAGACACGTACTGTGTCTATTTCTACCATGAATGTGTATATTGTTTGTAAAAGTTTCTGCAAGGGTGTTAATATTTTATCGTTCTCTGATGTGCTCCCTCATCTGCCTGCAAAAACCAACCAGTGGTTTCCTATTAAATAATGATTTAAAAAGCCATAGTAGAGCTCACTTATATAATATTTGACGGTGTAAATCACTTCTTACATGCCGTGCGTTCTGCCGGCCCACATCAGTGTGGTCCTTCATTTCCCATGTCAGAGGTTTTAGAGCGGTCATGCATTTGGTGACACTCAACAAAGCTTGAGAGTCGAAGGTCATGCAAAGCATGCTGCACACACCAGAGTTCACGATAAGGATATGAATGCCAGTTATGTAAGATAAAGAACAACTGCTGGGATGTTTACCAGCCACATAGGCGTGCACACAAACACATACTGCACAGATGATGCATGTATTATGTGGAGATTTAAATGACTGGTGATGAAGTAAGGACATATTAGAGTGAAATATCAGGTTCACATCGAAGGTGGAGTTGGACATAAACTGGCTTTTGCTCATATGATGTGTTGCAGAAAGCCAAAAAACATCCATATAATATTCTTATTGCACATTTAGGAACAACACATGATGACCAATGGAAAGGGAGTGAATACTTTGAGGTGCATGCAAGAAAACAGTATGAAAGAAATAAACTATAACCGTGAAAAGCCCAGCACTACTTTGAGAGTTCAAGCAAGTTCTATAAGTACAATGAACTGTCAATGTGAGAATAGATACAACAACCACACAACTGGACTTGCTTGAATAAAGCTTTGTTATATGAAGAAGTGTTTTTAAAATGTAGATTGTTTTTTCCAAGTATTTCTTTCATGTCTTTGTGAGTGAGAGGATGCAAAATGTATAAACAAGTCTGTGTAAATATGTAAAGAAATGTGTGAATTTATTTTGAGTGAATGATTCCATGATCTTTTTCAGGTCATTTTTTCGACATCGTTTTCAATCGGGCAAGGCGCCAGGTTTCCCTGTGAATTAGTTTGATACAAGATGAAATGTAGACTTAAAGTAGCATCCAGAGGTATTAAAGTATCACAGAAAAGAAAAGTGCAGCAGGTTTAGTTCAGTGACAGTGTTGAGTTGGAACACTGTGATGACAGAGAGTTGGAGGAGAGCGGTGGTTGTACTGGAAGAAAGCCAAAGTGTTTCTAAGATGTCACCATGAAGGACGCTGACTCTTAATATCCGTGACTAACCAGCAGCAGACCTGATTTTCAGACTCTACTTGTCTTAATTGTATTAAAGCTTCTTTTTTTTCTGTGTTCATTTGGATAGCCACAACATTTTTAAAACTTTTTGGAGTAAGAAGATTGAGGGCATGGCGTAGGATGTTTACACGTTTTCACAGCCAGTGGCCTATTTCCATGTACAGTGCAGCAGCGCCAATATTAATGATGCCTTTGTAGCTGCTACCAGAGACTCTCGCTCACACACACTGTGTCTGAGCCTTAAGAAATAATCTTAAAGTCGCTCTCCAAGCGTTGATTAAACCCCTAAAAACTCATCGCTGCGTATCAAAGTACATATTTAGATTTTTTTCTTCTTTCCAGGAAACTAATCCCATCCGGCCTGAAAGTGGCTTACATGTAACTCTACACTGTTGCTTCCTGTAGAATGTGTAGATCTATGAAGTCCCCGCCTCTGTCTCACCTCACCCCTCCCCACTCGCTGCAGAACACCTGCTCATGTACGACTTCTGACTGTACGTTTGTTACGCGTGAAACCCCAGAAGTCTGAATCTGTGTGCCGACAGTCTGCAGTTTCAAGGTGGAAATGCTCAGCCATGGCTTATTTTGCTCCTGATATGTCCTCTAGCATATAAAAAAAACACACAGGCTCATGTTAACAAGGTAAAAAAACAACAACATGATAACCTGTTTTTCTTATGCTTCTCGTTTTACACATTTATCACACTACCTGTGCACATGATCCTATCTAGTTTCTGGCCCGTAGTTCAGTTTTGTTGCTCAGCGCTGGTTCAGCCTCTGTCCCAGTATCTCACTTTCTATCATGAGTTTTCTCAAGGCTGCAAGAGCAGAGATATCATTAGTGGTTCAGAGCTATCAAGCAATCCTCCGGAGGTTGAAGATAAGGAGGAAAATTCTAGATGTGAGATGATTGGCTGCAGACGTATAGCTTAATGGTCTGTCGTAATCAGGAAATGACTCGGCTTCCAGTTAGCGCTGCTTCATTTGCCGTTAGTTTGTTTGTCTACACATGCGTACAAATATTTTCCTCTCATCGCTTCATACAGACTATCAGTGGAACAATCTGATTCTGGATGTCTTGTTCCCTCACATTTTGGCATTGGGTCAGATCCCTCTATGCTCGTCAGAGTTATTTCTGGACCATGGTGGAGGAGGGGGGGAGGCGGAGAATACAATGTTGGATAACCGCTCGTACCGTTTGCCCCTGCTGAGTTTATCCTAAGTGTCTCTGGACACAGGGCTAAATTTAGCAGGTCTGGGCTTTTGATAATTCAGGGGAATTTGATTTTTGAGCCTCTGTTATGAAGTAACAGAACACAGCTTCTCCTGCACTCCTGCTCTCAGCAGGTCCAGTGCTGAGTTTTACAAAATGCTTTTTGCAAGACTGCTGCGAGGAAGAAAGACCAAATGTGCAGAGTTTGCTGTGTGTCATTTCATGTCAAACCTAACGTCCTCAGAGCCAACATGAAGACAGAAAAGAAACACTCCCTCCCTCTCTTCTTCTCTCTCTTTTAGCTTTCTCCATCTCTTTTTCTTTCCCACTGCCATCCTTCTTTCGATCTCCCTCTCTCTCTCTCCCTCCTCTTCTCTTTCTCTCTCGTATGCACACATGCTCACCACATTTGTTATAGGGGCGAAAACATGCTTGCCTCATCATTTTATTTTGGTGTGCAAAGCCCTATTTCTGTAGTGAAATAAAGGACAGCCAAGCAGAATAGAGGATGCTCGGCTTCTCATAGCAGCGCAGAACGTAGACTCACAGCTGCTTTGCTGGTGGATACAGAAGCGATCTCTGAGGAAGAGAGGAGGTCTCTGTAGCAGCTGTAAGGACCACCCGGTCACTGAACTTCCTACACTGGGGAATCACAGACGTTTGGATTTAAAAAGCTGAAATAACAGCCTGGTGGGATCTGATGGAGCACTGAGGATGAATGTTGGGATGATGTGCCGCGGCGCTGTTGGCTTTCTCACGGATTTACTTTTAGAGATGTTTGCGTTCTCCTGATATGAAACACCAGTGGATCTTACTGTGCTGATTTCAGGGTGACAATGGACCTACAGGATTTGTGGATATTGGCTTTGTTTTTACGCCTATTAAGATGTTTTTGGATGTCTGAGAAATTATGACAGAGTTCTACCTGGTACAGTAAAGCATGCGCTTCTGCTCTCCAGTGTGCTTCATAGTAACAGATTGATAATTTGATGCAGATGATCATGTGTTGATATACTCACCTTCTCTCCTTCTTTCTCTTGTCTTGCCTCTTGTTCTCTCTTTCGCTCTCTTTGTTTTCTCCTCTCCAGTCTGATAGTAATGCCAGTTACCTGCGAGCTGCCCGGGCTGGGAACCTTGAAAAGGTTCTTGACTACCTCAAGACTGGGGTTGAGATTAACATTTGCAATCAGGTAAGTCTTCTGAGACACTTTTGAAGAAACTCTTGTGAATCCTCCTTGAGATAAAGAAGTATGCTTCATTAGCTTTTCTTCTCTACAAGCATGTTTCCACTGTAGTGTTCATCAGCTGAACTTCAGCTATTGAGCAATCTGAGCAAGCGTTATTATCCTCCTAGATGAAATATTTATTGATTTTAACCAGCCCATTAAGCACATTTAAACATGCTCTCATCGTATATCGTCATGTTTGAGCCACACTAAGTCAAAATGTCTTTCCTTGCCAGAATGGTCTGAACGCTCTTCATCTGGCCTCAAAGGAGGGACACGTAGAGGTTGTCGCCGAGCTGCTGAAGCTTGGAGCCACAGTGGACGCAGCCACAAAGGTAAAGCACGCCCCGTCACCTCTCACGCCCCACTGATGCTACGGGACTATATTTGGATGCAGCATTAAACATTGCTGCTCTGTAGGATTGAAGAGCATGCACCTACAGTATGAATACTTTTAAGTGTGCAGCCTTTGTTAGAGTCTAACACCGGATCAATATTTAATGACGCCTGTAGCGATTGCTAGAGAGAGAATTAGGCCATAAAAAACATATAACATATGTAAGAATGGAGCAAAAAAGTGTAATGTATTAGTTGGAAAGGTGTGCAATAGAGAACAAGGTTGGCAAAAGCATCTGGGTTGTTATATTTTATGCATCGTGCAATTTGATATCATATGAAAAGGAAAGCCTCTTCCATCTTTCTTCTGATGCTAACAGGAGCTGAGAGGGAGAGCCATTGAAAACATTATTCATATTTGTGCCCAGAAGGCTTTCACTCCCATTTAGTCGTCTGGTTCAGCCTCTCTGCTCCAGGCCGCGTGCCTAGTGCTGACATAAACACAGGACACAATGAAATATTCAAGATCAAGGCGAAAATATCCCCAATTAAAATCTCTCTATTGTGACCCCGAGGATGTTGTGGGATTAGTTTGAGATCTTGGGAATCCACCGCCTGCATCTTAATGTCTGTCAATTTCTTTTTCTTACGCAGCCAGTGGAGACAGCTCTGTGGAGGATGCCTAGATTTAGTAACACGGAGGGTTTCATTTAGGCTGTGTGGCTGTTTGGTGCTCGAGTTAATTGTGTATCCGCCCCTCTAACGTTGCGCTGCTCTTGTTGTGGGAGAATTAAACAAGAGGCCTTGTCCTCGGTTCGTTAGCCCCTCAGCAGCTCTGTAACAAACTCCGCCCTTGCGAAGCTCGCAGCAAGGTGTTGATTTTACTATGTTGGAATTGTGGATGCCGTATTTTTTAGTTGTTTTACTGGATTGTGGAGATTTAACTGTACACATTGAGAGCACCATAGTTGAATCTATTTAACTGTTTAAAGGTGGAGTACGCAGTTCTAATCTAATGAACTTTTTGCTAAATTTGGTCCTAGAAGTCCTCTATCTGTCCATTCTGTGCTGAAAACAATACAGTTAATACACAGCCCTGGTTGTGTAAACAGGAAACAAAGTGTCTTGGACTGATCCACACAACACTATTCCTGTGCAGGTTCATGCTCGTGCACAGGACAGTAAACCTTGCACATGATAACTTTTTAAACATCCACACATCAACAATCTTTCGCCAGAATTGCACCTTTAAGCCGTAGTGGTGTCATTGCATTGGATTACATTAAAACGAAAACCACTCATGGTGCAGGTTTGTCTCCTAGAAATTACTAATGCTAATTTGTTTAGCCAAAAATGTTTGAGGAAAAGAGAATCAGCAAAGTTTTTCCAGTGAAAGAACCACCACAGGATAAATGTTCATTAAGTAAACACAGTGTGTCCTGTGCTTTAGAATTTCCTGCTGACTTTTTCAGTATTTAAACAAGACCATGATCTTTCCCTCACTTTGTCCCAGTGCTTTCAGTGTCTATATATAGAACTGTCACTGCGTTTTTGCTGCTATGAGCAGATATTGTTTTGCAAGAGCAGATATTGTTGGGAAAACAAATGGAATAACTTACCAGTGAGCGCAGCACTTTGCACATATGGGCACATGAGTTGTCGTGGTGTGTGTTTAGAAGTTTAGCCTCGCAAAATACCGCAGTCAGCATCTCTTTAACACGAGGGTGTGTTGCCAGTCTGTTGTAAATTACAATAGATTTAGATCAACACTGCTTCTGGGCCAAAGCATAAACTTTTCAAAGAAGGCTCACAAAGAATAGAACATTGTGTCTTCCCCATGTAGAGGAATGTGTGTATGAGTATTTGTTATGCTGTGATTAGTGGCAGTTTAAAAGCAAGACTAAATCACAGTGAAGTTACTGTGGGACAATCCAACAAATATTAGCAGAGCGTGTTTATGTGTCTGCACAATAGGTCACAAGTGTCAAACAAAAAGTATCATCAGCTTGTTAGTCATGTTAATGTAATGGTATAAACTAACAGTAGAGTAGGTCTTATTTTTGTGTGCTCCTACACAATCTGTTGTTTTCAGCTGTATTATAGACTTTCTCTGCTACAGCCTCGTGTCCCAGCACATATGGCTATCTGATTTCTCTGCTCCAGTATGCAGTACATGTAACTGATCACTATTGTGCAAAAGCCTACTAGCAAATCCCCGTATCACGTGGCCAGGAGACATGCTGAGGGTCGACTCTGCCTTCACAAGGACCCCTACAGGTTCATTAAAATAAAAAAAGTCCCGTAGTTGTATTTCAGGCCGAAGCTCATTTGTGTGGGACTCGGGGATCGGAAGTGACACATTGTTGGCAGTGCAACAGGAGGATGCCATGGCTGGAACGCCAGCAGTACAAACATGTGATTTGTGTGAGGTGCACATGGATACTGACGTGGATATGTACAGACTATAGTGGCGACCAGTCGTGCTCCCGCACACATACAAGCAAAGCGATGTGACAGGTGGGGCAGAGCTTAACACACATTCCTGTGGTTGTTCCATGTAATGCAGAAAGGAAACACTGCTCTGCACATATCCTCACTGGCTGGCCAGACGGAAGTCGTCAAAGAGCTTGTCAATAATGGAGCCAATGTCAACGCACAATCCCAGGTGGGATACACTCAGCATGCACGCATGTACATTCAGCCAATGTCAAAATGACAGCCAGGTCTTGTTGAAACAACTCAGGTGTAATTATGCTACTGTGATGCACGTGTTTGCCTGAACGATGCCGTATCATGAAGTCACTGACATTGAGGGAATCACTCAGAGGAAAGATCTTCACTTACTGAGTCTGGCTTCGTGCCAACTAGGCCTCTGTCGCTCTAGCAAACTGCTGTCTTTGCGTTTTACATTAACTCTATCAGATCAAGGTGAGAGGAGAGATTTCAAGTACCTTCTTTCTCTCTGGTCCTATCAAACCTCAAAACAGCAAACAGAGATGAAACAGCTACACAAGGGGCTCTTTTTAAATTTTTCTGTAACTCTCAACATGATCAATTACACTGATGTCATTTAATTGCATTTATAGTGTGACATATTAGGAAATATGTATTATATTACATTCACTGTATTTTTATTATGAGGACTGTGCAAAGTAGACATTTAAACCTGCATCGCTTGTTTAGTCTTGAACCAATTTTAATAGAGCAAGCAGACATTGATCAATAAATGGGTGCAAAGCTTAATCTTTGTTGTAAAATGTGTGTGTTTTGGTCCATGTTGTGTACAGAATGGCTTCACTCCCCTGTACATGGCAGCCCAGGAAAATCACCTGGAGGTGGTACGATTCCTTTTGGAGAACAGCGCGAGCCAGAGTATGGCCACTGAGGTACTGTATGCTGTATGTGCGTATGTTTTTCTTATTGTGTGTCCGTGTGTGTGTGTGTGTGTGTGTGTGTGTGTGTGTGTGTCCACCTCTCTACAGTTTCTACCATTACAGTATGTCTCCATGCATTTTCTCTGCCTCGTGTGGTCTTTACATCTGTTGTACTAACCACCTTCATCTCCTCTCCATCCTCTGTTTCCTTCCCTCCCTCCTCTTGCCCTCCCTCCCCGACTCACTCTGCATCTGTCTCCATCTGTGTCTTTCGTCACTTTTTCTGTCTTTCTCTCGTCCTTTCTGTCTCACATGCTCGCTCTGTCCACCTCTCTTGTCTTGCCACCCTCCTCCTCCTCCCCTCCTCCTCCTCCTCCCTCCCCTCCCATCTCTTCATGAGGAACTAGGCAGAGTCTCATTGATTGGTAGTGTATGGTGGTGGAGGCAGAGTGACCTTGAGCGGGTCACAGATGAGGTCCGCTCCGCTCGCTGCCTCTCTCCTCCACGGCTGCTGCTGCTGCCGTTACTGCTCTGATTTACGTTGCTCAGCCCGTGGAACCCATACACGCTCGTGCTTACCAGTCACCACACGTATACACAAACACGTGCACGTACTGGAGGTAGCTGATGGGGCTAATGCAGTAGTCAAGCCAGTCTACACTCCACTGGTTTACATCTGTGTGGCTGCATGGTAGAACACGGGTTGCCCTTTTGGACATGCATACACGTAGAATAGGTTTGCACATGTACACACACAGATTTGCACACAGATCCAGTATACATTTAAACCAAAATATGTGTCTGAGCACATACACGTGTGCTCAGACACATATTCAGACATACACGATGCAGAAACATACTAGCGTGACAGGGAGCTTTCAACTGAATTATGCATCATGAGGGTAATGTGTGTGGGAGATACAGCAGATGTGAACCTTTACCACCACACTCTCTCATTATGTAACTAATATTTGTGTCTTCTATGGAGAGGAAGCTTTGTAATGTAGAGAAACTATACAGTAACTTCTCCATCTGTATGCATCTAACCTCCCGATACAGTCGTGAGGTAACCTGACTTGTTTCTGAAAGAATTATCCTCAAAACAAAGCAAAGAATTTGCAGTTTTGCCAAATTTAAGGGATTATGAGATCATTTTTCTGTTTTCATTGTGTTTTCTATCAGTTCTGCTTTTTTTTTCGTAGCATTTTCTTGACGTTTGTGAAAAATCTAATCATCAAAGTACTACTCATAAGCTACGAACAGGGTTTAATCTCTTAAAACTAATGGAACAGCCTGAATTCACTGGATCATTAATAACACCTGCATTGTGCCCCGCTTTTAAACTTCTACTGGATTCATAGGTTTTGCTTTCCTCTAGCCCTGCAGCAACAATGTAATATTCAAGCACCATAAGCTGCTCATAACCCGCTCACATCATCCACCCAGTCACACATACTATCCTACACCAGTTCCATCACCAGTTCCATCACCAGTAACGCATTACGGCACCCATTCAGCAGCACTGACTGTTCTCTCCCCCTCGTACGCAGGATGGCTTCACCCCTCTGGCGGTGGCTCTCCAGCAGGGCCATGACCAGGTGGTCTCCTTGCTACTGGAGAACGATACAAAGGGCAAGGTACGCCTGCCTGCCCTGCACATCGCTGCACGCAAGGACGACACCAAGGCCGCGGCCCTGCTCCTACAGAACGACCACAATGCGGACGTTGAGTCCAAGGTGAGCGACGACGTATATCTATATTTAGTCTGGTGGTGGATCTTCAGTTGGTGGCTTTGTTTTTTTATTACCTCTTTGATTCTTTAATTGTTTTAATTGTTTCTTTGACTAATGATGACTTTGGTTTTCAGTCAGTTTTTGCTGCTTTTTCTCTCCTTTTGATTGTTTGAATTTGTTTTTGCAGAAAGGGGGAATGTTATATATAATATACATATATAACATTCAAGATGCCAAAAATGTTGGATTGCAGACACAAGAATTTGTGTGTGCATCATATGATCATACTAGAAAATAAGTTTAGTTTGAGAAAATTTCTCAATCTAAATCTTAAGTAACAACACCATAAATTAGCCATAAATTGTTAGTTCTTTCTCCTCTTTCTGCTCCTCCACTTGATGTCAGTGGAGGCCCTTTTCTGCTTTCTTTTTTTTTCTCACTAACTGCTCATTCTCTCCTCTCTTGGCTGACTCTGTAGATGATGGTGAATAGAACAACAGAGGTACACCTCTACTCTGTACATTATGTAGTCTCTCCATTGCAGTTCATGAGAACTTTGAAAAAAACAACAACAATCACTTCAGTGCCCCTGACTTGATGCAGTAGTGTTTCTGCAGCCCTTTGTCACGTCCCTTTGTTCCATTTTAGCTCAATCCCGTCTTCCTCCTCTTCATCGCTTCATTAATGTTAGTGAATATCTGTAGTCATTGACAAAATCAGAGCAAGTGCGCATGTTTCACTAATACTGATCAAGTAAATCCTAAAGCTGGAGGCTTGGGTATCAAGGTTTTCCTTGATTCTAATGGTTTCATGGTGTCCAAAGCTTAAGTTTCTTACTTTTGGCAAATTCTTTGTGACTGTTGACAAAATGTTGTCCCAATGTGTCCTGACACAGTTGTTCCATGAAACTGATTACCATGATAACCAGTGGTAGCATGAAAAGTGGTTATCATTCATCGAAAAGCAACGATATGTCCATAACCTGCATGATAATGAAGTTTCCATTAAGCTGTAAAGGAACCCAGCCTTCTAGCAACAGACAGTCTAATTTGTTTGACTAGTGTACCCTTCATTGATATTTAGTACCTCTAATCCTCAACCCTTGCACCTAAAGCATTTTGCATGGGACCAAAGCAACAAGCTAACATGACACTGCTTCTGTGGTAACAAGGGCCCCTTCGTCACACCAAAGCCAGGTGGCCACCTTCTGTGTGTGCCTGTTTTGGTTGGCACTGGTTCTGGCTTTGGCAGGCTTGCCAGTTCTTTGGTATGAGTCATCCAAAAATGGTTTTGTTGATCTGAGACTTTTGCATCGTGGGAAGCAAATTTGCATCGTACTTAAATGTAAAGATGGAAGAAAGTTTTAGCGGATTTCATAAAAATGTGCACTAGAGTGATCTGTCCACAGACTGAGTACGAAAAGGCAGATATTGCTTTTTATTTTTGGAAAGCTTGCTTATGTAATACGAACTGAAATGCTTCATAGTTCTAGTGGGTTTGATTTGGGACACCAGATATCAGCAGAGTGGATTCACATATCGGAGGCACCTGCTTCCCTTTTGATTTTTGGTTGTTTGAAATTGGGATTCCAGTGATTAAATAGCTTAATGTGAGATTCACTTGTCCATCGGACAGATTGTTTCCAGTGTCCTTTTGTTGCTTTGACAGCTGTTGCTCGGTAAGCCAGGGATTTTGCCAGGAAATTAGTCTCATTTAAGATGTTAACAAATGGACATTAGGTTCATTTGCACGCCTCTTTTTTTTTCTTCTTCGCACACTAAAAGTATCAGCATGTTGTAAATGAGATCAAATAGATTTAGAGTAACCTCTAAATGACATTTGTCTCAATGGAGTTGTACATTACACTCAGGCCTGCACAATATATGTGGTGTTAGTTTAAAGATGACACATAGAGGTGTATAGAAATACACCGAATCTAGAATCCTTCTAGTTGGCCCCATGTTTGATGCTTCAGTAAAAAGACTTTTTCTACTTCTGTTAGAAAAGTCAGGTGTTAGTGTAACAGTGTATAGTAGAGTGTGTGTGACTGTATGTCAACCGTAGTTCTGTAGAATGCTATAAAGCCTAAGATATTCACTTGCCATGAAGGACGTGTTTCACTTTTTGTAATATAATGTGTGTGCTTGTCTGTTTGCTTGTGTGTGTTGTCGGGTTTCTTCCATCCGCAGAGTGGTTTCACGCCCCTCCACATCGCAGCACATTATGGCAACATTAACGTGGCCACGCTTTTGCTGAACCGAGGGGCTGCCGTGGACTTCATGGCTCGGGTGAGTTTGTTCTGCCCTCTGCTGTCTGGGAGGGGTATTACAGGCTTCCAAGGCAAACGCATAAATCTGTATGGAGTGTAATTAGTGTATCTATGCTGAAACAACAAACCTACACAGCAGTGAAACAAAGGCACAGTTTAACTTCTGTGACTTGGGCAAAACCTCAGATCTCATTATCACACTCTTTGCAAACAAAAGCCTCTAATAAACACTAACTTATTGTACAATTTGTACCTATTATGAGCCCTTTAGGACAACAGTATCAGCTGAAATGCAAAAAAATGTAGGATGTGTGCATAATTATCACTAGTGGTACACTTGGCAATGAGAGGTAGACGCACATGTTGCTGCAGCTTTCAAGAGAAAAAAAAAAAACACAGATAATCCCAAACCACTCACTCAAAGTGTCATGGGTTGAAACGCTAACGCTCTCTTTTTTTTGACATCCGGTGGGACTTTTGAGCATCAACAAAAAGCAACAATAGGGGCACCCTGTAAACCTTCACAATAAAACATGTTGCACAGCTATTCTCCAATACACTTGCATTACTGACTTAAATACATTTTCATGAGTCTTTCAGTGTATTCTCTTAATTTTCTCGGGGTTGGGAAGGTATTTCTGTCAAATAGAAGGAAGCTCTGCTTATTAAAAGGAAAGCTTGCTTCTTTTTAAAGGTTCAACTTTGGAACTAGACAGTCCACTAGATCATGTTGTCAAATAACAGGAGATGATTGAGAACAAGAGAACATTTTGTTTAAAGAACAATGTCCAAAGTAACTCTCTGACTGAATTTTAAATTTGTTAGGGATATTAATAAATGCAATGACATGGATATATATATTTAAATATGACTTCTAGATGAAAAGTAAACTTGGTAAAAGTAATGTTGGCATCTGTAGTGATCTACAAGTCGAACAGCTGATCAGCAAAAGAGAAAAACCATCTTACAGCAGCAGAATAAAGGAAGTTTATCTGAAAATGTTTGGTGCATAAAGCATGGTGTGCTGGTAAAGGGTTGTGCAGGATGCTTTCATTTTGATTCGCTTGCACCACATCGCTCCGCACCTCGCTGCTTTCTCAAAGTTGGTTAGTTAACTAACAAGGGGCATCATTATGTTTTTGTTTTAATTAGAAAACAAATTCCCTGCCGCCCATTAAATACAACAGTTTATTTACAGGAATATTTGCTCTGTGATCTAAGAGAGGGCGCCATTAGAAATGTGTTGCCACATTAGACGTTGCCGAGCCAGAGTCAACACCCGCCTGTAATTATATCAGCCAGCGTGTGAAGGAGTGCTGGTGTTTGTGCTGCTTTTTGACAATGATTACAGGCTGAGTGCAGAAACCGTGCTACAACTGTAGAGAATTAAACAATGCAAGTGTCCTACAGCTGTTTGTTTGGCAATAAAAGACTACATATCCTTAATTAGGAGGGCGTAGGACTTTCCGTATCGCTGCAATAGAAGCATTACAATCTATTTACAAACCCCCTAATTACATGTTCAAATACATCTAATGAAATAATTCCATTTAATGATACGCTTTTCGAATGTGCCTACATGCTGTGAGCTTCAGTGTAAATAGTAAACCTTTAAATCTTCAGAAGAATCCTGACACGATTTTCCTCCTTTTCGTTCAGAATGACATCACGCCGCTTCATGTGGCGGCAAAAAGGGGGAACAGTAACATGGTGAAGCTGCTGCTGGACAGAGGATCCAAAATTGATGCAAAAACAAAGGTGAGACCTTGAACCCAGTTCTTATAAAGGACGTAAGAGGCTGAATGATACTTTTTGAATGACTTGAATTCATTTGTTTTTGAGATAGACAGACCTATATTCCTACTCTTTTCATAGCAGGTTTTGAATCATCAGCTGAAGTTTATCAAGCACATCTAAATGGTGCTTATGTCCCTGCACCCACACGTGCTAGTTGTAGGTTCTGTTTCTAAACTATGCTTAGACTTTTTAATATGCTTTTTTTTATTGTTAAATACCAACAATTTTGCACCTTAATTGTAAATATCAGCAATTTTGGCACCTTATTTCTTCAACCAGCATGATTTGCACATCGTTGCACTTTCTTTTGTACACTGGTTTCCTTAACTTTCTTGAATATAACATATGTGAGCTACTAGATGCCTTGAATTTCTCTAAGGGGGTGAATAAAGGATATATCTATGTAGATGTTTTGATTGCTAAAACATGAAGTTTGGGTTGGGTTGCTGTTGTTTCTTTGTCCGTCATTGATTTTTTTTTGGTGCAAGTTTATCTGTCCATATCTTGTTTTTAAAAGAAGAATCAGATTTTGTGGTTTAAAGAGTATCAAAACCTTTGCTGTCCTTCTTTTCCAGGATGGTCTGACACCTCTACACTGTGGGGCGAGGAGCGGGCACGAGCAGGTGGTAGAAATCCTACTAGACCGAGGAGCTCCTATCCTGTCCAAGACCAAGGTAGCTACTAGGATGATCAGTTGGGGTGATGCTGCCTAGCTCAGAATAGGAAAGAAACACTTTACACTGGCTGCTATGAAACAGACTAGGCTAGACTAGATCACATTTTATTTAAAACATAGTACACATTGTTAATCACACCATAACACATGTATTTATTAACCACACAGAGCTATTTGAAATCTTCTAACCAACCAGATAGCAGGTCTGTTGTTGTTGCTGTAGTGTTGTCGCATTGTCTCCATAACGTGTGTGCGACCTCTCCAGAACAGCCTGTCTTCGCTGCGTAGCCCGTCAGTTTGACCACGCAGGACGACCAGTGTAACAAACATAGACATTGTTGTAATGGCCTCGTTATAACAATGCTTCTGTAACCTTCTCAGCAACTTCCTTCACAGTCTTTCTGTGCGGCGCCCGGCCACGCCCTAACTTGCTGTGTCTGTCTGTCCATCTGTCTATGTGTCCGTCTGCGTGTGTGTTTGTCTCTCTCTCTTTGTCTGGCTCTCTCTCTCTCCCCCTCTCTGTCTCTCTTTCTTTCCCTCTCTCTCCGCCCCACTGTAGAACGGCCTGTCGCCGCTCCACATGGCCACTCAGGGCGACCACCTGAACTGCGTCCAGCAGCTGCTCCAGCACGACGTGCCGGTGGACGACGTCACCAACGACTACCTGACGGCGCTGCACGTCGCCGCCCACTGCGGTCACTACAAGGTGGCCAAGCTCATCGTGGACAAGAAGGCCAACCCGAATGCCAAGGCTCTGGTAGGGATACAAGAAGGGTGGAATCATCATTGTAGAAAGCTTCTGTCCCATTTTCTATACATTGCTTTACTCTGTACTGGGTCACAGAGGAGCTGGAGGTCACCAGACCATCATAAGGCCAATACAGAAACAAACATGCACACACTCACACCTATGAACAATTTAGGATCACCAGTTAACTTAAGCATGTTGTTGAAAAGGTAAATATTAATGAACAACGTAAAAACAAAAAAAGATAAGGATAGTCAGTTTCCAGTCCAAAAGACGTTTTTTTGTATAAGAATTCAAAGGATTTGGTGTCTTTTACAAAATTTTGCCTGAGTTTGGCCAAAGCAAAACTCAAAAAATCAATTAAACCAGCAGAAGAAAGAGGAATTTGTATTTTGTAGGTTGTGCAAAATGAGCCAGCCAGTATGTTTGTACTGCTCTGATATAATAAAAGGAAAAGTTAGAATAGGTTGGACAATTTTGGATCACCAGTTAGCTTAAGCATGCCTTTAATAAAACAAATAATAGTGAAAATATAAAATTTGATAAGAACTATCCATTTCTAGTTGCCAAAGGTCACTAGTTTTGCTTTTATGTTGACTATTTTCTCCATAAAAATTCAAAGGATTCAGTGTCTTTTACACAATTTTGCTTTTGCTTGGCCAAAATTGTACTTAAAAAGTGAATTAGATTAATACAAGAAAGAGGAATTTGTGGTTCTCTCCATAGAAATTAAAAGGATTCAGTGTCTTCTACTAAATTTTGCCTTAACTTGGCCAAAGCAAGACTCAAAAGAATCAATTAAACCATCAGAAGGAAGAGGAATTTTGTAGGTTTGTAGGTTGTGCAAAACGAGCCAGTCAGTATGTTAGTGCTGCTGTGATATGATAAAAGGAAAAATTAGAATAAGTTCACGCCTGTGGTAATTTTGAATCACCAGTTAGCTTAAGCATGCCTTTAATAAAGCAAATAATAGTGAAAATTAAATGTCTAGTTGCCAAAAGTCACTCGTTTTGCTTTTATGTTCACTATTTTCTCCATAAAATTCAGTGTCTTCTCCAGAATTTTGCACTGCTTGGCCAAATCAAGACTGAATTCAATTTACAGAAGCAAGAGGAATTTGTGTTTTATAGGTCGTGCAAAATGAGCCAGTCAGTAATCCATTACTGCTCTGATATAACGAAGGGAAAAAGGAGAAAAGATTCTCCCTTTTGTGACCAAAAAAAATTAATACTCAAGGCAATAGAGAAGAAAAACAGAGAACTGTGAGCGAAATGAGAGACGAGGGGTCAATCAAGGTCGGACAAATGTGAAATTCTGAAAATTTGAAAGACCTGAAGCTGACGCAAAGGGATGAAAAGGGCTTCTTTGTAAGCATCTGGATTTGAGAGGGAGTAGAATAATTGAGGAGGGGGGGAGAAAAAAAAAGGTTTCCTCTCCGCTCTTCACACTTCTGTATCGGAGATTCATTTCCTTTCGGATCATTTGCTCCCCTTTAAGCAGTCACACATTCGCAGATGTTTTATAACTGCGGCGAGTTCATTTCTTGCTGGATTTCAGTGATGATACTACAGTCTTTACGTTGAGATTTTTTCTTCTCTTTTTTTTTTTTTCTCTCAGAACGGTTTCACTCCACTTCACATCGCCTGCAAGAAGAACAGAGTCAAAGTGATGGAGCTGTTGCTTAAACACGGAGCGTCTATCCAGGCTGTCACAGAGGTACTACATCCTCTTTTCTGCTCTTCACTACCATTACATACATAATATGAACCTGCTTTTGTCTTTGTTTGGGTTTAATGAAGTGAATTGACAAGTTCATTTGGTTTTTAATTTGATATTTCTGTTTCCCTGCAGTCTGGTTTGACGCCCATTCACGTGGCAGCCTTCATGGGCCACGAGAACATCGTTCACGCGCTGACACATCACGGAGCATCACCCAACACCACCAACGTAGTGAGTGGATCATTTGTAATGCACTTTTTAGAAGTACGTGCTCAGAGTTCGGAGCTCCTTCTTACGACTGTTTGTCTCCCAGCGAGGGGAGACCGCTCTCCACATGGCAGCCAGGGCGGGCCAGGCAGATGTAGTCCGATACCTGCTGAAGAACGGAGCCAAGGTGGAGACCAAGTCCAAGGTCAGAACGCTGGGCCTCTTTATCAATCACAGGAGAAAACAAACAAGGATAGAACACGGAGCCAAACAGTCACTTTCTCCTTCTCTGCAGGACGACCAGACAGCGTTGCACATCTCCAGTCGGCTGGGGAAAGTCGACATCGTCCAGCAGCTGCTGCATTGCGGCGCCTCTGCCAACGCTGCCACCACCTCAGGCTACACCCCCCTTCACCTGGCTGCCCGAGAAGGACACCAAGACGTCGCCGCCATGCTGCTGGAGAACGGGGCCTCGCTCTCTTCCTCGACTAAGGTGAGCCTCACGGATCCGGTGAACCAAGCAGTGCAGATAAGATTCACTCGTTTCAGTGTCGTGTGTCCCCACTAGTGGGCGCCAGTTTCTGTTTTCAGCAGCCTCCAAGATGCTTGAAACAAACAAAAGCTGAAATGTGCTGTTTTCACAACATAAGCAGTCACAGTCTCCAGTTAGGAGAGCCATAATCTACCATAACTGTATTATTTTCTGCCATCTTCTCTTTGTATTACAGCTGTTAGGGTTCACTTCAATTCTTGTTGTTTTGTTCCTTTTCCAGACAAAGTATTGATCAGTTTTTAGTGTTCACGTTCAGAATAGTGTTGGCCCAGTAATTTAAAACCACTTTATTTCCCTCTCGGGGTGTTTTTTTTTGTTTGTTTTTTTTTAATCGATGCAGTCAACCATGAACGCATAATGGCATTTTTTTTTTTTTTTTGGCGGTGGTGGTCTCCCATCTGACTAATTGTGCTGATCAAGGTCAAAACGAGACAAGGGAGAGACTTTTTACACAAGTAGTGCACGTGTGTGGTATGTTGCTGGGGGCTGTCTTTGAAGGTAACCTCTGTCAGTGGAACAGATTAATGAAGGGTAAACCCCATGGTGCTCTCTTCCTCCGCCTCTCTCTCACACACATGCAGCATCTTTTGGGACGTTACCTGAGTCAGCTGCTCAAGGAATCGATGTGACACCAAAGTGTGATCGGGGGAATTGGAAGATGGGAGCAATGGATTGACCCATTTGTGATATTTCTTGGATAAATTTGTCTTTAAAGTGACGGCATTTTAAAACATTTCAAACTAACCCGACTATCCATATCTCCTCCAAAATGATCCTTTAGTTTATGTTTAAGTCGTATTAATAGCGACTGTGACCAATCACACAATGAGGTCATGTGTTTCAGAGCGTGGAATCTGTGTGAGTCCCACATTCCTCTGGAAATTATGACCTAATGTCTTTAAATATCTTCACATACACACAGGAAGGAAGCCAAAATTAACACATTATACATTACAACCATTTGATGTGGAGTACATGAGGAAACGAAATCTCTGGTTTGCCTTTTTTTAGGCTGCTACAATCTTATGGTTATGCCCTGTTGTCACTAAATTATTTATGCACAGATAGCATATATATTTTTGTATTTATTTATTTTTATTTTACCTTTATTTAACCAGATAAAAGACCCACTGAAACCTCTTTCACAAGGATGACCTGGCCAAGAAAGGCAGCCGCAAATAAACACACAACAAAACAATCACAAAATAAATATTTAAACATTGGAAGGGTGATTTAATTCCTCAAAAATGGCTGCTATGTTAATATTTATCTTTCCCATGATCTCCACTTCTGTACAGAACCCCACAAGTGTTAATCCTCAAGATATGTCAACATCATATTTATTTATAGATTAACACACATTTAGCTGAATTCATAGCTGCAAACAGTAGCTTGATTTAAAGTGACTTTAGATCATAATGTCAGGTCATCCAAGCATTTTGATGACAGATTTTAGGATCAGACAGTCTGTTCTGAATGCATTGAGTAGATTTAAATGGATAAGCATCGTGTTTTTTTCAGTTTATGCAAAAACAACATCTCTGCTGCTGCTATTAGACTCTTGTAACTATGCTGTTATGTGTCCTTTTTACTTCTAAAAAAGGTTATATTGCGTAAACTTGATAATACAGATGAGTTCATTGCGACTATGTGAGACACTACGAGCTTGTTCCCAGGCCGACCAAGTCCGAACTTAAATAATGCAAACATTCACATCCTGTATGAATCCCCTTCTGTACTCCTCCCTCCCTCGCTCTCTCTCTCCATGCTTTCATTTCAATTAAGTGTCTTTTCTGTGTCCAACAGAAAGGGTTCAGTCCTCTGCATGTGGCAGCAAAGTACGGCAAGATGGAGGTGGCCAGTTTGCTCCTACAGAAGAGAGCTGCGCCTGATGCTGCGGGAAAGGTGAGGTGTCTGGAAAAAACAAAGAAAAAAGAAAAGAGGAGAGTTCTGGCAGACAGCTCACTCTGGGGAGGCGATCCTAATCTTAACCAACATTTGAGGAAGTTTTCAGATGCTGGAAAACATGAGCTGTCTGCGGAGGGAAGCAGTTGGCACAGGAAACAGGAGTATAAACTTAAATTGGTTAATTTCTGTAACAAAGTGTGTCAAGATCTGACCTTTGATGAAAGAGAAGGAAATAGGAAAAGTGTTTGAACACTCACGGGGATCATTAGCAGCTATGTGTAGAGGATATATACAAGCTGCAGAACACTAAGAATGAAGTTATACATGTGCAAATGTTTTGTAAGGAGTCTTAGTTGTGGGTCAGACAGTCAACTTTTCCTGTTGCGATATGACCAATAAATAGTTCAAATCAGGAATTTATTCAGATACTGTGACCGTTTATCATTCTGTGGGTCTTTCTGCCGCCTGCCCTTATCCAACCTGTCTCTAAGAGAGTAAACAGAGCCCCTTTTTGGAGTTTCCAAGCTGCAACTGGGGGTAATTGCATGTAGGAGCGGCAGGTTTAGTTCTGATCACGGGGCAACAATGCAAACAGATGCTCGTTCCGTTGCAAAAACCTTGTAAGCACATTTGCTTTTATTCCCTGGATGCACACACACACATTGACAGACTTACTGAGCAGAGGCCTACTGGCACTAGCTGTACGTGTGTCTGTGCCACCATCTGAGAGCATTTAACATAATGGCAGTCAGGTATGATAATGAAGCTTCCACTCTGGTGGTGTCACGCTGGAATCAGCCCCGCTTTCAAAAACACAAAGCAAAAATCAGGCCTTTGCTGCAGTTTAATGACAGTGATTTTCTTCAGAGGTAAGAGAAAAAAGAACTGTTTCGTTTCTAACGTTTTAACCAGGAAAGCCTTTTGACCCAAAATATGAATATATCGCACATCTCTCCAGGGCCGCTGTAACCACACATCAGGAAATTCTGTTTGCGCTTTTTCTGAGTAATTTCAAGCATTCAGTGTCACGTCAAGTGACTTGATGCATGAAGACAAAACAGAAAAATTAACTTTAAAGGTCTCCTCAGAAATTTGCAGTCATTTCCTGAGCTTCACTGTGCAGACGGATGTACTGCATGTGCAGAGTTTGACACTAGGGGGCTGCTGGATTTGCTGAAGGGTGAAAGTTTCTCTGTGCTCACATTACAGCTGAATTTAAGACTGTCTACCTGTGGTGCAGACACTTGACACCTCCGGCGCAAACATGTATACTGTGGGGGGAAAAAAGACTTGTCAGTAAAATAAGAGCAATCTTGTGGTCAAAAATTGAAAGTTTTTAAATGAAATATATTGATGTAGTCATTTCTTTTTATTTTCTACATTAAGTAAAAAGAGTTGTGGTAAGATAGATGCTCTTTTTTTGAGGAAAAAATACATTACAGTCAGATTTGTGCAGATTTTCCAGGTCATGGTAATCCTAGAAAGTCCTAGCAGCTGGACTACTGGACTTAAGATGTCTTCAAGAACCTAAAAGATGAGACATTTTACCGAAACTCCTAGGATACATCAGACACATGTTGTTCCAAGCATCCAAAGTTTATGTCCTGAAGTTTGTCCGAAGGGGATCTTTAAATGAAAAGAATACCAACATGCTGCTGCTTCTGCTGCTAGCACACTAATGCTATTCCTCCTCCTCCTGCTGAAAAAGATGATAAAGTGTCATCATCGCTGTCAGAACCATGTATCTCCAATTTTGCCCACTTTTCATCTCGGCTGCACTCGCTGCGATTATCATACCGCAGATGAGTCACTAAGCAAAACGAAGGCAGTGGATTTGCATTGTAGATCATGTCGGCATTAAATTTTATAAGGAAGAAGAATGTGTGGAATAAAAAGAGCAATACTGGCTGCATCAGTTCTTCTTCTTTTTCTTTTTTTGTTGCTGTTCTGGACATGACTGCAATGTTAAAATTCTCCCACTTCTTAAGCGAATCATTTGGTGCAAAGTTGACATTTTGGAGATACATTCCACCTTCTTTGTCTCAGTTGATAATGTCCTCTAGCTTCTTCTTCTTCTTCAGGATTTCAGCATGAAGCTCTAAACTGTCTCCCGTACTAAGTATGTTTCATCAGTTTAATGTCCATCTCCCCTCCATCTCTTAACATTCTGTTGATTTTGGTTCTTTCATTTGACTTATCAGCGTGTTTGAGCTTGTGCGTGTTCTAATCTGGTGTTGTGTTGCATGCCTGTGTGCGTGGATGTGTGTGTGTGCGCGCGTGTGTGTGTGTGTGGGTGGGTGTTTTAGAGTGGGCTAACTCCACTGCATGTAGCCGCTCACTACGATAATCAGAGAGTGGCACTGCTGCTGCTGGATCAGGGAGCTTCCCCGCACGCTGCCGCCAAGGTATCCACACAAACACACAGAAACACACGTGCTACAGTCAACTCACCTGGCTTTTGCTTTCAACGCCATCTCAGATCATTAACAAGCGTTCTGTGCGTGACGTCCTGTCTGTATTTATGCAGATCTAATGCTCATTTCCATCCATTCCATCGTGTGTAACCTTCAGCGTTGTGAGTGAAAGTGCGGGTTTTCCTTTGTTCTCTTTGAAGTCACTCCACCAGCTGGAATTTAGCGCATAATGTCGACATTTTGGGGTTGGGATTTTCGAAAAAAATGTCATTATTTCTCATAAAACTAAACTAGACAGTGTTGTCAGTGAACTTGCAGGGGCTGGAGATGTGTCGTAAATTACTCCAAAGACACTCATTACTCACAACTTTCTGTCTGTTCTAGGGCTGTAAATGTTGTGTGTTCCAAATAAAAAGCAAAAAAAAAAAGCAGTTTAGTTGAAATGTCAAATGCACATGGTCGCCGACATATGGTCAAGTAGTGGTTCTTCTCCTACTAGGCTTTCATAGTCAAAAAAAACACAGAGTAGAAACCAAAATACTGCAGGAAATGTCTGTTTTGCTGCTGGATCGACACCCTGCACGAGGAGACCGAAAGCTCGTAAAGCTCATTTATCTTTGCTCTCGGTCTTCCCTTTCTGGCTCTGTCTCCTCCTAACTCTCTCTTCCTTAATCTGTATCTGTCTCTATTTATTCCTCGACTTTTCCTGCTTCCCTCCCACACTCTTAGTCATTCCTCCCTGCCTGCCTGTCTTCACTCTGAGTTTCTCTTCCTCTATAAATTGTTTTTTTCATTTGGCTGCTTTCTAAAGTTAGTCTGCTGGGTCTAATTTAAGTGCTTTTGGAAAGGGATCAATCTGTGTGCAGCGGAGCAGTTGTCTAGAGGCGTTTCTGTACAAACGCGAGCAGTGAACACATCTCAGAGTTGTGTCGTGAAACATGGGTCATGTGTGACATCTCTGACAGGAGGATCTGAAAGTGTGATTTTGACTCATGCAATAGGACTCGTTTTAAGATTCAGGGAGTGAAATCAGATTTGAATCAAAGGTTTGGAAATGAGCACAAACGCAGTAACAGACAAACTCATGATGTTACCAATCTAAGCTAAAATCACCCCACTGCTCTGTAGGACCTCAAGGCTTCCTACAGATTTGAATGAAGCCCTCCTGCTGACACCAGTGGAGCTCCCAACAGTAAATGCTGCCTCTAGTCTAATTCTGTCTTCTCTAAAGTGGCCAGAGTGAAGAAAGTCAGAAAGGTCCCTCTTCAGCTGCTGTCCTGTCTCTTTTTACTGTGTATGTGCTCAGCCAGCTGAGAAACGCCACATGTTTGAGGTCTCAGATGCTCATTCAGTGTCAAGGAGTTTTATTTCTCCCACTAATGATACATTAAATTCTCCTGAAGTCGTGATGTTTGCTGTCATGACAAAGTTTAGATGCAATATGTTGACTTTTTTGGTCAAATATCTGCATCGTGATCTCTCTGTAATCTAAAAATACCTGTTAGACGCTGACACTGACAGTTTAGAATTCTGAACTGAAACTCTTCATCTATTAAAGCTTCTGAGCTTGATTCAGGTTTTCTTTAGTCCACCACCACGAGTGCAGAAACAAGTGTTACCTGTCATTTTCTTTATATTTATTATATCGATTTTTGTAGATATAATGAACAGGGATGCACGGTAATAATCAGAATGAAGTTAAATGATGGCCCAAAATAAACACTGACAGGCAGTTAATATGAAAATGTTACATAAGAATAAAGATGTCATGATTTGCAAGTACATTTTTCAGTGAATGTCTACATTTGAAAAGCATTGCATTTCCTGTTTTCATCTGCCAGAGGGCCATCGTGATAAGTAGTAATGTGTGAATTCACCAGAACTCAACTACAGGAGAGAGACTGGGTGTTCTCTAGAGCAAAAATGAAGATGTTCTGATACTGGCAGTAATCCAACATCGTGCATCCCTCATGATGAAAATGACAGTCTGGTGTAAATGTTGCCATGGTGACCTTACAGCTTCGTCCATATTTCAGCCTGTAATGTGTCGAACGAATTCCATTTTGATTCAAAATGGAATAAAATGCATTACAGAAGAAAGCACCTAATGAAAACCTTCCTTGTTTTGAGCATAATTAGCCATTTCTCTATTACAGTAACACAGATTAAATAACACACCAGCCATCACTTCCATAGAAGAGCTCAGTTTAACATGCTGACATCTACGCCTCTCTCTTGCCCTCCTCAGAATGGCTACACGCCGCTCCACATCGCTGCCAAAAAGAACCAAATGGACATTGGGACCACGCTGCTGGAGTACGGCGCTGACACCAACGCAGTGACGCGGCAAGGCATCAGCCCCATTCACCTGGCAGCGCAGGAGGGCAGCGTGGACCTAGTGTCGCTGCTGCTGGCCAAGAACGCCAACGTCAACGTGTGCAATAAGGTAGAAGCGGTCACGCGGCAAAAACAGCTTCATTATTGGCATTTTGACCTCGTTGTCACAGAAAAAGACACGCATCCTCAGACTTGTCCAGCCAGTTTTCAGTGTTCGCTGATACACGCAGCATGTTTCAATCTTGTTATGTGCTCACACCATAACTGATTTATTTGTGTGCTGACACATGGTTGTGCATGTCCTTTCTCCATCCACAGAGCGGACTTACACCACTTCACTTAGCAGCTCAGGAGGACAAGGTCAACGTTGCAGAAGTCCTTCTCAACCACGGGGCTGATGTCAACCCACAAACAAAGGTGAGGCGTTGTCAGAGAGCACATACTGTAAATACACTAATGTCTGTAATTCTCTATTTGAGATTTAATGCGTTTATCACTGCCTTTGCGGTATGCGCTTGTCTTTATCTGAACTTGATATTTCTGCATAGTTTCAGTGTATTTAAAGCATCGGAAAAATACACTCAGACAGTCTGTTATCCGCAATCATCTCAGGTGCTGCATAAATAAAGGATTGATACCCGAGTGGAAGGTGTTCATGTCTTTATGGATGCGCCTCACACTGCAGCAAACACACACACACACACACACACATGAACGCGAACATGCTGTAATATAAAGTCCCATAACAGGCTGCTCACGTTCACTGAGGCAGACCCGCAGTAGCTGAAGGTTGGGATAACACAAGGGTATTTTGTGTGTGTTTGTGCTGACGGGACAGTTGTTTACAGAGGATGCGTTATTCACTCACTGATCTCCATTATCTTTGTGCACATATGCATAATGCAAACGATGACATGAAATATGATGCAGTTTTGAAGTGTGTTTGTGATTAGACACAGCGTGCCGGGAAGTAGAGTCTGCAGAATGATTTTTAAATTCTTGCAAAATCCAAGTATGAGCTGATTCTTTCGGAAACTGTTGTGTAATGATATGAGGCCTTCAGTCAGCAAAAGTAACTCACGGTCTCCCTTCTTTTTATGTGTTCGCCCTTTCATGTCTGTGCCTCTTCCTCCATTTACTGCCCTTAATGCAGATGGGTTACACTCCGCTGCACGTGGCCTGTCACTACGGCAATGCAAAGATGGCAAACTTCCTGCTGCAGAACCAAGCCAGAGTCAACGGCAAAACCAAGGTACGCTGGGAAAAAAAATAATGGCTTTTTTTTAACTGTACAATTAACTGTACAATTTTCTTTCTTTTTTTCTTTTTTTTCTTTCATTTTTCTTTTAATTTTCTTTTTTTTTTTTAATGTATTAATTTAATTACTGATAATAGCAATTACAATCACTGAAAATTGTATTAATTTACATGTTGACAGTAAAAAAAAAAACTGTAAATAATCTCTACATAAAAAAAAAAATCTGTATTTTTACAAATGGTTAATCATTCTTTCACAGCATTCGACTATAAAATCAGCAGTTTAAATCTGAAAAAATAAGTATTTTACAGATATTTGCAATTTTTTTGAAAAAAAAAGTGTATATTAAGAAAAGAAAGACTAATATTTTTCAGAATTTGTTAAAACATGTTAAAGTACAGATATTGTCTAATGAAATCAGAGAAAAAAATACTCATTTATGTGTTAAAAAAAATAACAAAATAACAATTTACAATATGTGACCATAGTGGGGTTTTTTTGTTTGTTTTTTGCTGTATTAAATCCATTTGAAATATAGATATTTTGCAGATATTTGTGCCATTTTTTTTGCTTTTTACACTTTTTAAAAATTACAACATTAAATCATTTTTAAACATATTTTTTCTGGCACCTCTGTAGCCTCATTTCCACCATCCACATGACATCATAGACTGACCTACAAACAAACACACAGTCTCGTATTGCTGTTTAGGTAAAAATCACCCTGTATGAACACAGTTGGTTCATTCTCCTCCAGGACTAACTCACTGTGCTCATGTCTCTGTCTAGAACGGGTACACTCCTCTACACCAGGCAGCTCAGCAGGGCCACACCCACATCATCAACCTGCTGCTTCAGCACGGGGCCTCGGCCAACGAGCTCACCGTGGTCAGTGCACAAACACACTGGCACAGACACGCACTCTCCAACGGAGCTGAAGATTGATGAATTACTAATTGCTTTTTGTGTATCTGTGCACCTCCTGTGAATAACTTCCTCTTTGTCTGTCGCTGGTCAGAACGGCAACACTGCCCTGTCCATCGCCCGCCGTCTCGGGTACATCTCGGTGGTGGACACACTGAGGCCTATGACGGATGAAAACCTGAACACCATGGTGAGACGCTTTCCTCATGTCTCATGTGGTTTAATGCACATGAACTTTATTGTATCACCAATCATCCTATATATATCTATTATAACTTGGAAATAAGTTGCATATAGACACAATAATACATTACCAACATGTGACAGTGAAGAAATCAGCATGCTTATGATTGAAAAGGTGTGCATCTTAGAGTAGCCACACAATATGAAACAGTATAGAAACAACTTTCAAAGAGTTTGAATGGTTATGTTTAAATTGTAGGGATGCACGATATATCTGCGACCACATCGGTATTGGCTGATATTAGTGTTTTTTCTGATATATCGGTATCGGTCAGGTGAACAAATTTAGCCGATGATTGTCTAACATCAGCGCCTTCGTCTCTACATTTGATATTGCTGCTATTTAACAGATGTTTTTACTTAAATGGTCCTGGACTTGAACGTTAAATATGTTTAGATATGTTTTAGTTATGTTACATAATAAAGAAGACTATGTGGTCTAATTTGGGCTTCTTTTGAATAGTTTTCTCACAGTGCTTACTTCTACTCATTTTTCGGTGTGAACAAAAATTGAATATCGACATCGGTAATATCGGTTATCTGCGATATTGGAAATCTTAATATCAGATATCATATTGGCCAGAAATTTTAATATCGTGCATCACTAGTAAATTTCTTATGCTTTGCGTGAGTGACTAATTTTTTAAGATGGTAAAGTTTTAAAATAGTTTTCCACTTTCTAGGCAGCCATTGATTTTGTATCTTAATTATATGAACATTCATTTAAAACTGTTTGAAAAAATTGCCATCCTCGCTAAACATGTCATTGCTGTTAAAGTTTTGCCACCCTGAGGTACAAGGTGATGAAGTTACAAAGTGTTTGATTGCGAGAATTCTCCTCTGTGGTGCGTTCAAGGACAGGATTTTACAGCTGTCTAGCAAAATGCATTGCAGCCAGGTGATACAGGCTAAAAGTTTGGGCACTAATAGTATTGTTTTGGTTGTTGATTGCATTAAAAAAGTTATTGTTTGCTAAAAACTTGAGAAATGCTTTTAAAAAATGGTTTGTAGTAAGCTGAAGTATTCATCCGTAGAACCGCTTCTTATTGAGCATCTGTGTTAAACTCAATTGTGTACCTGACTCCTTACCTAAATATAAACTTGGACCAATGAGCCAGCAGCTTACTGCGAGAGGAGTGAGAGTGTAAATACTGCAAATCAGCCAGCAAGTCAGTCAGTCACGCTGCGTCACATGTGTGAAGTTGTCCTGATTAAGAGAGAGAGAGAGAGGGCTTAGATTGGAGCTTAAGGTTTCTCCTCATATAGCCGAGGTCACTAACAGCGATCTGATTCCACATACACACACTTGTATGGGAGGAGGGAGGAGGGTGAGAAAATGGGACAGAAAGAGAGGCAGCGGGATGATGACGAGGTGACAGGAGCGTGCAGGGGGAGGGACGGCGAGTGAAGAGACGGACGGAGAGGTCGCTGAGGATTCGGCGGCATCAGCAGAAAAGTGCGTTAGTCCAAACTGTCTCTACATACGGTTGTGCACCTGAAAGATCAAGGTCATTTCCCTACAACTGTGTGTGTGAGTGATCTATTATTCACTGTGCAGAGACCTCTTGAATCTGCAGCCTGTCTTTCTGGTCAGTTGTGTGGGTGAAACCGGACTTCAGACGTATAGGATCAGCACTTCTTGCTTTGACGGGGGCCACAGCCACGTTTAATGTCCATATTAGGAAACATATGTGCAGGCCCCACTTTGGTTGGAATGTAAATGCTGAACTTGTCACTAACTGACTGCAGTTGTCTGAGCTACAGGTGATTTAACACTGTAAAAGTGGGCAATCTTCAAGACATACTTCCTGATCTTCTTATTTCAAAACCCAGTATTTACCGCTCAGCTCAGTGCTGCAGTCAGCTGTGAAAAAAGCGAGCAGTAAGCCGGTGGGGAGTGATGGTATTCTGAGGTTTTAATATCAGAAAATACGCTTTAAGGTTCAGGTTTAGCATGTCATAGTGTGTACATGTGCATGAAAAAGGAAAAACACTGTTTATGTCATGATAGTTGAGTACGGATGGTGAACTTAAGTGACCATTAGATATACTGATATATAATAATACAATATGCACTGCAAATAAATAGCACAATTTCCAGAATTTTGATGGTTTTCAAAAGCATAAAGTTGTTTTTCACATGTCATTTTTTCCACATTTGCAGAGTGCATCAGAAAAACACAAAATCAACGTCCCAGAGACCATGAATGAGTTCCTCGACATGTCTGACGATGAAGGTATGTGAAAAACTTCTTTTAAAAAATGCTCACAATTCTAATTTCCAGCCATCCAGAACTAAAATAAGGTTAATCAATACTTGCAAATGGTTGTTTGACTTGTTTTTAATAGCAGCATACTGCATGATTTCCATACGCTGTGTGATGTCATTGTCGTTAACGTGCATGTTTCACTGTATCCACATCACACAGTCCAGGCCAATGTGCCAGAAATTCTCAGTGAGGACTCTTTTTCAGATGATGATGAAGGTATTTTTTGCCACTTTGAATTCGCTGTTCCTTTGTTGGTTGGTTTTCCTTTAACACCTCAGCAGAGCTGCCCCTGCTTGTAGCTAACAGTGAAGCTTTCGCTCTACTGCTCTCCAGCTGTACTGCTCTTTTGAATGCAAAATCAGAATACACTCACTCAACAGCAAGAATACACACTTACACTGAGTGGCGTGATTATTCTTGAGTTATTATGACATTAAGGCCCCATGAATGAACCTCAAGAGCCAATGAGAGGATCAGATCGAGTAGATGTTTGATTGTTTTTATTAAATTTACTTTGTCTACCACCAGCAGATAAAGATATCTCAGCTGTTTTAGCCTTGAGCCTTTCAGATCCTGCTTCTATTCACAAACTGACACCGCTGATGTTATTTTCACTGCCACTTTAAAACACATTTGTTATTTTTATCACCTTGCAAACCATAAATCCCTTCCTGCATGATTCTTCTCATCAAAGACACTCAAGTGTCATCCAAACTTCAATGCTGCACTCTTTTTGAAAAGAGCTAAAAAAAAAATGAAAACAAGGTCAATGTAACTCACTTTGTAACTCACATGACAGACTGCGAAGAGACCTGCATGCACTCGATTAAATAACCTCACTGTATGTCAAAACCCTCAACGGATGACATAACATCAGCGTTAGTTAGCGGTAGAACAGCCCTGCATAGCCGAAGCACTGCCAAGTTTAAAGGTACAAGTCGCATTGTCTGCCCACTTTGGTCTTCTGTCCTTTTTTTGTTTTGGAACCACAGAGCCAACATGCTTGTAAAATTGATGAGCTTGTTCATGGGCTGTTGCCTAGGAGACGGTCGCGAGGGGGTGTGCAGTTTCTTTGTCAGGTGATACAGGGAGACTAAACACGTACACACACGTATCGGGTGATGGTGGAGCCGCATGATGAAGATCCTCATTGGCACAATGTGTTATCACTACCGTGGAGGAATTATAAATACGAGTATCCATGGCCTCACCTACTCCATATAAACTGTTTATACTGTGTACATAATTCATCAGCATTGTTCTTGTAATATTCACTTTGCCCAACACCAGGAGACTGGTTTCAGTTGGCTGTTGCATTCAGGCCTGCACTCCTTCCTCTTTATTGGGTGTTTTTTTTCTTCTTCTCTGTGTGTGTGCTTGTGTGAAGAAGGGAGTAAAGAGTTTCCACAACTCTCTTTAATCCTATATGGAGGGAGCCAATCCTATTAAGCTCCAGGTTGGAGTGACTGTAACAAGTCACCAAGAAGGTCTCTGGCTGTGTGTTTGTGACCTGCCATCACAAGCTCATCTCATGCTTTCTATAGACCACTGTGGCCACTAATAGCGCTATCTATAGAAAACTTAACTTGTCGCCACAGTGCAGATGATCTCCACGATGTCTAAAGCACAGGCCTTAAAGGAAATGATTGCCTACTAAAGGTCCTTCACTGACAAAATATCTCTTGCGTAATTGTTCCAAAATCACTATTCTTGTGCAAGATTGAGTCATTGTGCAGAAGGAAGGGTTGCTCAAGATATTTTTTTTAATTTTAAATGGCAAAACCGTTGCACGATGGGGGTTGTTTCATCATTATTTCAGCCCTGCACTCCCAGTTTGACATGCAGCCAGGACTCCCTGTCTGAGTCCTCGGTGAGAGTTTTCCTCTCCAGTCTGAGGTTCCCAAGCTCAAACGACCCCGTCAGCTGACTGAGCACTCTCCACCACAGCGGTAAACACTTCCAAGTTGACGCTCTTGTTGTGGATGCTGTTGACGCGCAGTCTCTCTCGCTCTCTCTCTGTGCAAATCCAATGAGATGAGCTTTTTTTTTTTTTTTTGAGCCGCCTGCAGGAGAATTAACCCCGGTGTGTCCGTTAGTGTCAGCTGGACTTCTAATGTTTCACTTCAGCATTGGGCACTCTGTTTTTTTTTCTTCAGTGCAGCAAGGAGGCGCAAAACTTTGTTTGATTGCTGTTTCTTGTGCGTAAAGGCGGAAGGCAGAGATGTGCGCATCGGCCACAAGCGCGCTACTTGGTTGGAATGGAGTTAAGTGGTTGAGGTGAAGAGAGGGCAACTTTTTCCATCAGCAGCAGAAAGCACTGAATGGACTGCTTAATACTCTGAGCCTCTTCTCTGTGGATTTACGTTTCTATCCTGTGGACGTTCCGCGGCTTTTTTTTTCTTTTTTTTTTTTTTAAGAGAGAAACAGAAATCACTCAGGGAATATAAAGAGCTGAGCTGTGATCGATATGGCCGCGTTGGACAAAGGTAAGTCGTTGGGGGGCATCAAAAGGAGTTTCATTAAAAACCGGATCGAAAGAGAGGCAGAAAAGAAAGTGAAGGGCAGGAAATGATGTGAGTCATCAGCCCTGTTAT